TTTCTTTGGACATTCTTTGGGTGTACTAACAGTTTTGGAATTAGTTGTTAGAAACTATAATTAAAGCTTGTTTGTCATGTTCACTAATTATTCTATATAGTTAGTCCCCCTGAAGCTTTATGTAATTCTCCCTTTGTTACAAGCTTCGGTTTCTCCCTAGAGTGTCCCGATGCCAGACAGGCAAAGAGCTGAAGTGCTTGGAAACCAATGTGCATTGTATTATCTGTACAGCCAAGCAGATAGTTGCCATTAAATTTTAAAAATTATTTTGAAAAAACTTTCTGTACATTAGATAAGGTCAGCTATCGAGAGGTTTCAGCTCTACCACCTGGTAAGGAAATTTCTTGAGTAGAAGGAAAAAGTGAAGAAAAACAAAAATTGATAAAGGGTACATCAGTATTTTCCTTCAGGGATCTGCTAAACAGTGGGAGGGGGAGGAGGTTTTTATTCAGCAACTTCTAATAACCACCTGATATTGCTGTCAGGCTGGCCAAATATCTGCCAACATCGGTGACCCTTTCATTCATCACTAGAGAAAAGTACAGATGGCCGATGTTTAGAGTAGCAGCAAAACTATTTCCCATTTTCTCCCTTTAGCTGATGGAAGTGCTAGTGAGCCAGTCTCATATTCTGGAACGGTAGTGCTGGTGATGCATATAACCTCTCTGCTCCAGAATAAACTCTGTGCCCCGAGAACTGAAAAGAATCCTCTCTCCTCATGCCTAATTCCAACAGGGCAGAAATGAACCCATTTTCTTCCCAGGTGTAGATTTCAGAACTTCCAGATGCTGGAAAAGTAATCCTCACGTAGGGTAGGCTCCAGGGACTCTGGGGACAAGCTCAGCAGTCTGAGAAACTAACATGGAACATCTTACCCCTCCCCAGTCTACTTCCCTTCATTTAACTTCATCTTCACTTTGCTTTTCCCCACCAAGCGGTAGTGGATATTCAATTGAGCACAGCCCCGGTTCTTACCATGCAATAGAGTGGAACACCTAGAAATCAGAGACTCCTTGTCTTTGGTTATTTGTAAAATAAAGAAGTCTCTAGCGCACACCAGGCTGTGTGGATGGGATTTTCATCTTTGGAAACCAGGCCTTTCTCTGACTCTTTCCAGGTTGCTCTCCATTTTCTTTCCACTTACGGCCCCCGTCTCCCCAAAGCCCACCAAGACCATGCACAAAATCAGCTTCCAGTAAATACCAACACTGAAGGTTCAGCAGGATGCTAACTCTTGTAGATGTATCATAAGAAGATGTTGTACATAAATGCCAAGAATTATGGAGCCTAAGAGATCGCTAAGAACACTGTAAGTATCCCTGCTTTAATTAGTAGCCTTGGAGTTAGGTAATGGCCTGTGGCTTCTAAGCTAGGTCTCTTGAGGTTTCTAGTCTTCAGGGGCTGCCTGCAACTACGTGCTCATATACAATCTTCTTTCTCATCTACTGAACAAATCCTCTGTAGACCTTCCTAAACATCTACTCCCAATTACTGCAATTCACAGGCAAATTGATCTCTATTCTCCCAGTGCCTGTCAGCCTAAGTTTCAATACAGAGACTTTTGGACTCCAATTGTCTCCTTGAGTTCTACTTCCCAGGGGAAAGGAAAGGAAGAAATTCCTAGATTGGTGTTGATTGATGCCTATTTTTCTCCGAGGAGAAGGTGGACAGCTCGCTTTGCAGCTGATCAATTCCCCGTAAATGTGCTCCAGTTCGCAGCGTTTCTGAACCAGCCTCTCACGGGGACAGCTCCACGAATGGGGCTGTAAGCAGACTTGACAGGTTTGTTCTGGGCGGACGGCCATGGACTAGGTTCTCCGACCAGATCAGTCACTTGGCCGAGCTTACAGTAGGTGGGGCGCGCTCACCAGCTCAGGGTTAGTGACTGGAAGTTTGTTGCAACATCGGTGTATTCAAGCAGCAGGCCGCTGCAAAAGATACCCTCTTGCCCCGCGAGCCCCGCGCCAGAAAGGTTCGCCCTAAGGGGCAGGGCACGAGCGAGGGGGACAGACCGACCCCCCGGGCACAGCCCCATCTCCCACGGCGGGGAACGCGCAGTGTCAGCCCCCAGAGCCGGGAGCCTCAGGTCTCGGACTTCTGGCTTGCTCTGGGGAGAGCAGGCAAAGGGTGGGACCGGCTCGGGAGCTCCCCTTCCCGGGTGTGCGAGAAGCAGCGGCGGCAGCCAGCGGTGCGGGAAGGCGGGGGCACGTGCTTGGACTGGGGTGCTTGTGTAACCAGTTTCCCAGGCGTCAGCCCCGACAGCGCTCCGGTGGCTGGCTCTTCGGCGCTAGTTTTTCCGTGGTGCACCAGGAGGCCCTGGGGTGCCGCCGCCGCGCGAGGCGGGCGCACCGGGAGCCAGAGCAGCGGACCACTCGCCTCTCCAACTATTACAGGGGAGTGGGAATTTGGAAAGTTCCCCAACTAGGAACACACGTGACCTCCTCCTGAAAGTAGTTCCGACTTGGCCGGTGTATCCCTCCACCTCCTTTTGAACCCTCCTCGGTCTCCTCGGCCCCGCCCACTCGCATGGGTTGCAGCTCCCCACGGTCGAGTACTTCTCATTCCGGCCCCGCAACCCCGGCCTCCAGCGCGCGCCGCCCCGCGAGGGGCGCGCGGAACCCGGCCCTAGGGCGATCCACCCGTCCGCGTTTTCGCAGCGGCCCAAAAGGGGCGGGGCGCTGTGGCCCCTGTAGACCGAGCTTGGGTTCGACGCGGCGAACCGAACCAGAGCCCCACGGGGGGGGAAATGCTCGGCCCTCCCGTGGGCAGTGCAGGGGCTGCGGGGTGCATCCACCCTAGGGATCTGCTTTCAGTCCACATAGACAGTTGTCCTTTGGGACCTAGAAATTCAGGGGCGATGTTCTCACACTCAGCGTGCTCGACTGGGAGCTTTCATTTTTAGGGCAGAAGGGCCGAGCTGCCGGGGAAGCGGGAGGTGGGGCGGTGAAAGGGAGCCGGATGAGGTGATACACACTGGAGACACAATAGGGGGTTGTTCTTTGTGTGAAGACTGACACCTTGAGGACACGGAGGGGGGAGGGAGGGAAAGGTGGGATTTCTCGGCAAAGGCTGCTGCATTCAGATCTCTGCGAACGATTGTGATCCACACGGTTGTGATCCACCCGATTGCGATATACAAGAGAGAGTCTGCAGGCCGTGGCGGGGAAATCTAGGGACGGAGGCAGGGAAGGGGTGTCCTCGCTGCAGGCGCTGCCCCTGCATTTCCCTGTACACTGACCGGCGCAGTCACCGTGCCTTTGCACCTGTGCACAGGTAACCTCGCCCCCGAGTCAGTGACACCACTCAGTGCACCCGCCTTAGCGTTCACCTTTAGCACCCCGGAACAGCCTGCCCTTCCTCCGGCTGGGTTTCTGCGCACAGGCCGGGGCTTAGCGCGCTCGTTCCCCCGCCCCGCGCTGCTGCAGCCGCCGCCGCGGCAAGTGCACCTAGCTGCTGGAGGGCGCCTCGGAACAAGCCCGAGCGAGCCCCGGACGCTCACATTGGGCATGCTCAGTGGCGCCAGCAGGTTGGGGATCGGCGCTCGCACCTGGAGCTGCCCCCTCCTACCACCTACCACCCCT